CTTAAACATTTTGGAGATAAATGATAAGATCTTTGGTGATCTTGTGTTAAAAACAAAAAAATGACTGATTAACAACAACTTTTTATGTATATTGATATCATTATTGTATTAACATGCTAATGATTTATTATTTATTTTGATCTATTCTAAAGATGACTGATATTACAGGACCATAAATTAAAAAATGTGTTTTACTTTTTTACTTACATTTGAATATACTTTAATAAATATTAGGACATTTGTGTATTGAATTATACTAAAACCAACGAGATGACGCACTCATATTGTTTAATAAAGGGCTAAAAATACTTTTCTTAATCCATCAACGTCCAAACATTTGGTTTCTGGTTTGAAGGGACCGTAGTGTGTTGAGTTTGCATGCTTTTCTGTGTCTATGGCCTCTTCACAGCTTCTTTCCACCATATAAAAACATGTCAGGGGTTGGCCTCTCTTAACTGACCCTAACAGCGAGTGTGAGTATCAGTTAGCATGGACTGTCAGTTTGAACCCCACTTCTCACAGCCGGAATGGGCAATGGAAGGATGTAATAAAGCCAATTTGTAGGGACTTTCGAGGAACCAGTAAGCTGGAAAAAATGAATGCAAATCTTTGGTGATCTCTGACAATGGTCCAAATAAGAAGCTTTGATTTATCCTCTGAAGAGTTTCTACGTACTGCACAGCATGGCAGCCAAAAGCTGAGAGTGAGGTGGCACAACATTTTGCTTCATCATCTCCTGCTGGAGAGCTGGTCGTTGCTTAAAGGAATTCCTGCACGGCCCCTGCTCTGTGTGCAAAAACAGTTTACGTGTGTGGTAGGCCGGGCTGCACCCATGCAGCACTGCTTGACCTACAAAACCAGTAAGAGTGCTGATGTTCATCACATCCGCAGGACCCTGGTGTGTCGTAAAGACTCATGCTGATCCAAGAGTCTATGAGGCTTGACGCGTGACATCGACCTCACGAAAGAACAGGAGGGGGAGGAATAAACACATAACTGCCCAGTAACAGGGGCTCTCTCCTCATTGGCTGCAGAAGAACGTTGCATTGATCATACTCTTTGAGCACAAATGACACATGTAGTTTTGATCCACGCACACGGGCAGGATTACAGTAACATGCTCCCACACACACACACACACACACACACACACACACACACAGCTCTTGTGTGCGTTTCCACACTAGGAGGATTAAACGTGCACAAACATATGCACATCCTGACACCCTCACACATTGATAATTAAACATCACATTCACACACTGACAAGGTGTTGGTGAGAACTGGGGCAGAATCTCACCGCTGAGCCGCTTTTTAGTTAAATATCTTCAGAGACTTCATTTTTCCCGCCCCCTCCCAAGATTAGCACTTAGCCCCTGGTAACAGTGCTGTCATTTTGTTGTTACACGTCACCCACCATGGATCCGACCTCATGCTTCATCTCAACGGTGCTCATGTACATGGATGATTTTCACAGCTCAATATTTGCTTGATAAAAATCGTACATAGTTTAATGAGAAGATAGATGTTCTGAGAAGGAATATCTTGGTTTCACCACTTTGTAGCAGTAACACACAGAGCTGTTTGCTGGACCTGGAAAAGCTAGCTGGCCATATGGAATAATATCATATCAAAATAATATAATAAACCTGTGCATTTATAACTATATATATATATAAACATATATGTACACACACACACACACACCTGTACATACATCCTGGACAGGTTGCCAGTCCATCACACGGCCACACAGAGACAAACAACCACACACTTACATTCTATGGGCAATCTAGAGTCTTCATTTCACCTAACAGGTGTGTTTTTGGATAGTGGGAACCCGCACAGACACGGGGAGAACACACCATCCACACAGAAAGTACACAAAGTCCAGAAAGTTTTGCAGACTCCAATCGTTCTAAGCCAGCCAGCTATAATAGTTTTTCATTTACAATCTGCAGAACGTTTGTGAAGCTCCCATCTCGAGTTTGCATTGAAGTGTTGTTTCTTTTCAGCTGTGAGCATAAAGTGGTTTTTAAAGCTCTACAACTCTGAGCAGAATAATTCATGACAGAATAGAGGAATATCTGCATTGATCACACAGATGTGTGACGGTTAATAAAGTTTGGCAAACCAGAGGTTTTGTCCTGGAAACCCGCAGTAGCAACATAACGGCCGCACTCTAAAAATGAAAGTCTACAGAAATCCATGAATTAAAACAACTATACATTTTAACGACCTCAGTTAATCAATGGGCATGCTTAATTACCCTTGTTTAAATGTACTTTCCAGTGTAGCTACATTATAGCTGCGTGTAGCTGTAATTTTCTGGCATTCATAATTAACTATCAAAACTAATATCAGAAAATGCCCATCAGATAATCCTTGTTTTATTTGTTTTGTTTACCATTCAGTGCGTGTGTAGTGCTGTGCATGTCTGATTATTTTCCTCTCATCTCTTCTGCATCTCCAGCACATGCTGCTATTGTTAACTCTCGGCTAAAACAGTAAGCTGAGAGCTCATTTAGGGATCTTGTGAAAAGGCTGTTAGCGCAACGCTCCGGGGTTCCCTGGCCTTCCCATGCCTCATTTGAGAGGCAGCAAGAAAAAAAGGCAAATAGATGAAAGGCAGTCGCCTCAGTTGAGACGATGCAACGAGGGTTCTCAGACTGAGCCGGCATCTATTCAAATGAGCGGCTAATCGTGGCATCTGTTAACCCACTGAAGAGGTGTCAGCGCGGTTCCACCGGCCTGTTAATTGGTACAAACAGGTTGCAGATGCAGTCTGCGGGATTGAGCATCTGCCAAACTGAGAGCCAACCTCCACAAGCAGAGATTAGAGGGCCGAGCTGATGGAGGGACATGAAAGAGAGGGAAGAAGTGGGGAGGAAGAGACATGTGAGGAGAATAAAGCCTAAGCGAAAGAGAGAATATGGGCATAGACTGAAGTTTCCCGTCTCAAAACATTTAAAAGTGGATGAACAATGATCAATAATGATTAATCTGTGCATGTGGATGAAGGGATGAAGGGATGGATGGATGGATGGATGGATGGATGGATGGATGGATGGATGGATGGATGGGATTAATTGCTGCACACAAAAGATTAGTTTTTAATTCAAATGTTTAGCGCAAAGAATTTATTTAAAGAACTTATTACAATTTAAAAATCCAAAATGTCCACGAACCAGATATTTTCCAGCTACCCAGCCTCACTCACGACCTTTTCAGATAGTTTATGTTAAAACAAAAGTCTAAAAACACCTCAATTACCAGTGCTGCTACTTTGTTTTCTATAGAGGGGGCAAAGCTCAAAGAGAAAAACTTTCATATCACAATTTATCTATCCCCCCTTACTCAACTGTATTTCTGCCCAAACTGGCAAAACCTAAGCAGGAATAAAATGTCAGAAATATTAAAAAATGTAAACACAAGGCTAGAAGACTAATGTCATTGTTGATCAAGGTTTGCTTCTTCTGCTTTGCTCAGTGCACACACTCATTCCCCTTGTTATCCTCCCTCTGCAAAAATCTCATTTCAGCAATTCATTTCATTCAAAGGAGGCATTAACCTCCCAGAAACCGGCTCCACATGGCTAATTAGCATAAGCAACAGGGAGACCTGCATGTGGCTAATTAGCACATCATCATCACCATTACTGCACATGCAGTTGGAGCTTTTGCTCATCTCTTTCCTTGTTTAGTCTGACAACAAAATGTGTTCTAAATAAACCTGGAAAATGATAACCTCAATTAAACTGTGTTTGACACTCATCTTGAATGACTTCGACAGCCATTGCATTTAACAGTTGTAATAAAGGAGATAAAAAGTGTGTTTAACTGCCTCTGCCAGTGGCCCAGGGTTACAATTATGCCAAAGTCAGATTAAACCAAATGTGGATGTTTTAAAGAAACGTTGAAGTCTGTTAATGAACAGACAAAAGATAAATACTTATGTGTGTGTGATAGGGTGCACTTCTGCAGGAACACATCATGTCATATTTCAGTAAAAAATGGAGACAATTAAATCAGAGCTGTGTCCTTCTGTGTTAGACATTACAACCCAATTTGAACAATGCAGAATTAGGTTAAATAAAAACACCTGAGCTGGTTTGCGGGTCATTAAAACTCAGAAAAACTGCTTCACACTCTCAAGTAAGACACTGAGCCTCCAAAACACACAATTAAACATTTTTTTAACCTTTCTTTTTACCATTTGGCATGGCATATGGCACTGATTTTATACATTTTCAACATTAAAAATGTTTAAACTGTAGTTAAACAATGAAATCAGAAACATAACTGAATTCAATTATAAACTTAACTAATGACAACAAACACCGCTCGACCTGTTTGCTGAAAATCCAGTTACAGTCTGTTAAAACCTTTTTCCAGCGGCTGTTCTCCTCTCAGGTCTGACACATTTACGACGACGCTGACCCCTGCTGGCCATTACGCGCTACTACACAACGGAGACCGTCACTAGGATGTCAAAGCCTCTTTACTTTATATATGACTTGTCATATCTGTTCTGCATTTCATTTACGCACAGTAGCTTTAAAAGAAATCTATCAGAAAAAAAGAATTAGCACTATTTATTAAATCCATGCGCTCAAAGATCGTTTAAGATCTCCCACATGCTTTCTGTTTCACATGCTTTAACAATGTTCTTTTTGGCATCTTGTATTAATGTATATTATGGGTAACTTCTTGATGCACAGAGAAATAATGAATCATTCAGCCCTATTTCTCCACTTTTTGAAAGCAGCATTGAAGGCATGCCCAAGTCTGATTTCTCCACCTGGCCTCACCTATTTAGTCTTTACCCTCTGTCTATGCATAGAACAGGTACCGTTTCTTTCTCTGTGCACCAAGAAGTTAGCCTTGTGTTCATCTGGTGCCTCAAAAAGCTTGTTGTGAACCTTTTGGATGCCTGGCATCAGCATTTCCCGGGAGTTATACTGTATATCAATCAGTGAAGGATGTGATAACAACACAAAAGATTTTAAGATGATTGGTTTTATTTGTTGATTTTATGTGTTTAAAAATGAATGACAACAACAACATGTTACCAATGATATTTCAAGACAAAACCAAACGGACATATAAGCTTGTTCCAAGAGGGGTTCATTTGGGAGACAATCGCTGATAGATCTCCATGCTACATTACTGTAATAAAATCTAAAAAGTGAATGCAAATACTGAGACTCAGTTCTGAAAGAGATTACTTCATTTTTTATGTAGAAAACTTGGACACCAAAGGGTTATTCTTCTATTCAAGAAGTACAGAAGAGTCCAGTTTATTTTAATTACCTCCAGTATAAAAAGGAAAAACACCAGGTGAACACTGGGGTTGATTGAAAACTGGCTCAAAATCAACATTAAGTCCAAAGAGCTTCAGTCTAAGTTCTTCCTGCTCTGATGTGGAAGGCATTATCCTCAAAATCTGATGGCTCTAATGAATTTGTTGTGATATGTACAAGCTACCAGGGGTGCTTATTCCATATATTTTCCTACTGACCTCTACTGCCTGTAAGGTCTAACATGGAGCAAATATGCTCCCACAGTAACTCAGTGGCCTTTCTCCTGGTTGTCCACCATAATGTACTTTGAAACAAATCTACCACTCCTCTTGAAACCTTTATGAAGAATGTTTGTTTTGTCACAATCGGTTTATAGTTCAACCGATGAGATGACGGGAACCTGATTACCTCGGGTGAGACTGCATGTTTCAATAGACGCTTCTATGTCGTTGCCTTCTATTCATATGACTCTTTATCTCATGACAAAGGGTCAATAAAAACGAAACCCTTTATCAGGTCAAACAGCCTGATGATAATCAGCCTGCTTTTCACAAATGGCACCAGGTTTTACAGTTACTAATTGTGGAAAAAAACTGACATGAACTTTAAAACACTGTGGTAATGCAAATGCAGAGATTTTCATATTGAGGAAGTGATTAAAAAAGAAGTATATAGTGCGGGTTCATTTAGTTCTGAATAATAATGCCCTTCATCAACAGGTTGAGGCAGGTATCATTGTTGGACTCAACCTCCCAAAAGGTGATTTGCATACATGTATGAAAGCAAGAAAGAAAAACAAAACCTGAGTTTTACTCTCAGTTTCCACAGGGAAAACCTTAGATTATATACACATAAAAGGAGTACATTTTAAACCAATAAATAAACTATTTTTTTTCTAAATCAACATATGTAAAAAAATACATTTAAAACAGTTTTCATTTGGTTTACCGATTGGTGAGTTCCCTAAAATCCCACATACAAAGTGCATTGGTCATCAAGCTAAACATCTTCTTCAGTAATCCTGTGAAAGTAAAAAAAAACAAACTGAATTAGATATCACTTTGAAAGAGAATTTTTTTATTTTAATCAAAAGGAAATGTACGAAACTCATTTTTAGCTGACCAGAGTTTTTTTTCATTCCTGCTTTTTCACTATAAATTCTAATATCAACTTTCATGCAAAAAGGAAACATTCCTTTGACATCATGACCTTTAGTCACTACTTTAATTTCTACTCTTTAATCCAGATGGATGAGGTGCATAAGAAGAGCAGTGGCTAGCCAACTGGAGCGTAAATGGTTAAACTTAATCCCAGGCTTCCTAATGAAGCCGTTTCACTCAGAGGAATGTCATACCTGCATTTGTTTATATATCCAGTCAATGAAGAAGGTGACATTGCCATAGACTCCTGGTTTGTTCCTCGAGGCGCAGCCTATACCCCAACTGGTGTCCCCTGCCAGCCACCATACATTTCCCACCTTAACCACCAGTGGCCCTCCACTATCCCCCTACAGCACAGAGGACAAAAACATCTCAGGTCAGTGGGTACCTGGACAGAGTCACACTGATCGACTCCATAAAAGTAACAAATTTTCACAGAAATAAACTGGCCATTCTCCATGCCACTACATTAAAAAAACAGTTTACACAGAGATGAAGAAATATTTCCCCATTTTGATCCCTTTAAAAATCAATTTTAATGTTGAAATTAATTTTTCCCAGCTGTTCGGATATTGCCTGTGATTGGTTTCAGGAGAGAAACTCGGACCAACCTGGCAGCTGTCGACCCCTCCCTCCAGTTTGCCTGCGCACAACATGGTCTTAGTCACTTGGCCATTTAACACAGAACCTGCGTTACAAGTTTCTCTGCTGTAAACGGTCACCTGGGCTTGATTCAACACGTTAGGTGATGGACCTGAATAAAACACACATGCACACAATGAGTTAAATGAATTTGGCAAAAAACACACAGAAAAACACTGCTCTGTTACTTGTCGTCAAAACAAATAATTCACAGTATAAAGACAGCAGATCAAAAGTAAACACAGTGTTTGGTTGACTGATTCACTGACTCACCGGAGGAGCGCAACGCTCCCCAGCCCGTAATCCAAGCCTGAGTTCCTTCAGCAATCTGCATATCAGCATTGGGGAGACACACTGGCTTTTCTACTCCTGACATATGAACACATGTGGGTGTTAAGTGTCATAACATCACCGCAGCTCAATGCATTCAGCGTGAGTTTAAAGAACAAATTTACCAGTAAACATCACAGGTGTCCTGAGCTTGAGCAGAGCAATGTCATAGTCACTGGTTTCTGAGTCATAATCTTCATGATTAATGATTCTTTCAACTCCTCTGCCGAAACCGATTTGAGACAGCCGGACATCTCCAGAGTGGACGGTCCACAATGAGGGACTGCTGTACCTGCCATGGAAGAAACCACATGAAATAAAAGGGTGAGAAATGGTGGTAAAAGGAAAGAATTCAAAGATCTGGGATGAAGCCTGCCAGCTAACTTAAAATTTTCCATAACATGTGTCCAGGAACTGAGAAACAGGCAACCACAAATACACCCCAGTGTCAGGAAAGCATAAAACACGATAAACATCAAGACAGGCGTGCCGACGTCATAAAACTTCAAATCTAGGGCACACAACTACAGAATTACACCAGCCCTTAATTAGGTCAGGAGTTTCTGTAGTATGGGACATAAAGTAGAGAAGAGGCTGACTTTTGGAAGCAGTGTGCTGCAGACAGGATCCAGTAGGGGCTGATGATGGAGCCTCCGCAGACATGTCGGGAATTAATCTGGAGGCTGACCTGCCAGGGCCAAGCTCCATTCACAGCTTCTGTGCCGCCCACAATGCGACTGCTAGGACCAGCCGAACTCTTACCACAGTCTAAGGGTTGGAAGTAAAAAAAAAAGCATTTAAAAAAGCATATGCAAATCAGGAATATTTCTGGTTACTTAACTAATAGAGCATCCAATGAGAGAAACCTACCAATGCATTTAAGTTGGACAGCTCTCTCTGAACACGTCGAGCTGCAAAATGGAGGGAATAAATACAATAAAACCTGACTACCGTGGCTGCTCTGTGTGCGCAGCGGTCAGTCAGGCAAAGGTTGGGGCGTACCTGTCCGTGAGCTGTGACTGCATCAGAGATCCAGGGGAGCTACCAGGCTTCAGACTCATGTATCCTTCAGAGGCTATAGAGCCGGGAGAGATTGAGTTGTAGCTGACGTAATCCCCTCTGTGAGACAGAAAAGCAAATGTGATGGATGATGATCAGCAGTCAGAGGAACAAAACTCACAGAAGTGCCCCTCTGTGGAAAAAAAAAACCTTCACATTTTACTAAAATACATTAAAACAGGTCGAATTGATTGTTTCTGAAAAGTCCCGTGGAACGATTAATGAACTTTTCGAAGATATAAGTTAAAAAAACAAACATCTGCGCTTAAAAAGTCTGCAGGAATGGAAGGAAAATATTTTGTATAAGATACAAACTTGACTTTGTCAAAGAATGAAAGGTCTAGACTAAGTTTACTTTCCCAAAAGGGAAAAAGGGTCCTCGACATATTTCAAATTCCAGCACAGGTTAAATGAAAATGGGTCACACTTTTATTTTGAAACTTATCTCAGAGCTTGAAGAAATTTGTGTAATATTTGAATATGTCCCGAAACCGGATGCATATTTGCAGAAGGAAGGGATCGTAGAGAACTGAACTGAACTCTAGCGTGTTGCTTTGACTCAAACTGGCTCAGAAAAGCCACAGTTGGTGTAGAATGTGTTGTGTTTTGTAAAGATCAGCACCTGCTGTAGCCGATCTGCTCACACACAGTTTTCCCGTAGTTGTCATCCCAGTTCGAAGCACAAACGGGCAACCAAGCTCGCTTGTTGGCTGAGAAGCTCTCCAGCATGAAGTTGGCTCCACTGAGGCGAACTGTGCCGCAAAGAGAGACATTTACGTATTTTTTCTTACAGAAATGCAGAACTTTACGTGAGCCTGAGGGGCTTTGGGACGCTTGTCTTACAGCACTGAGATTCATCCTCTCCCTTTGAGCAGTCCCTGACCCCGTCACACCACTGCTGGTGGCTCAGACACTTCCCACCAGCTCCACACGACCTTCCCAGCAAACACTGGTAGTATACTGCACAGACAAAGAGACTCATGTCACCACGTCAGGGCTCAAAATGTCAGGAATCACTTCCAGTTATGCTGAAACTAAAGTTCACCCATTACCGCTCTGTTTCCTTTAAAACATATCCTATGTTTGAAATGAATCCGATCCTAAAAGGAGGTATAGGCAACCTCAGATTTGTTCATTGTTAAAGGGTTTGTTTTCTGGCTCCACAGGAATTGGGGGGATTCGGATCAGGACGCTCAAACCAGCAAAGAAATTGGGAAAAGACGTCAGTAATGACGCTACAGAGGCCCATAAATTAGGGCGTTGTTTTAAAGTCACTCACAAATCATTTAGAGAACATCAAGATTATTCACAGGGAAACTCCTATTGATCTTCTCAGTAGAAGACCCCCCCGGCTAGTTCACCATAAAGCCAGAAAACTACAGACATGAAAATAATATTGGGCCCAAATCCCTCAATAACAGAGACGTTACACAGAAAAAGATTGCTTCAAAGGATCCTTGCTGAGGTCATTTTTGGAGCTGTTGAATCAGCGAGGTGTCGTCTGTCGTATGTACAAACTTATAAGACCTGGTGAGAGGATTGATTATTTCATGTCCTGATAAGTGATGGTAAAATGGTTTTCCGATGTCGTCCGTGCAACGTACAGAAGTACCAGAGCAAGAGGCCGGCCACCGCCAGGATGACAGCCACGAACAAACCGATGCAGAGGGCATACTTCCAGTGGCAGGCGCCCGTTCCTGGAGGACGAGAAAAACAAGTCAGGTGCAGGTATGACATGTCTGACTGTAGCAGTATGGCCGTGAGTACCGAAAGCAGCTTTCACTTAGAGTTCAGCTCCTGAGGGCACTGAGCAGAAACAGCCGGCACCTTTCCTGTGCTGGGGGTGCGGCGCCGCGGCCGGCACTGCCGTGTGCTGGGTGCTGACCACCTGGACCGGGCCTACGGCGTAGCCAGGGCTGGTCTTGGGGACCGGGGGGTAAACGCTGTGGGCCGTGTACGGTTGGGGCCTTTGTGCCTCGTGCTGAAAGCCGTGGTTGTCGTAGACATTGCCTCTCGCCTGGGCAGGAAAAAGGGAAGAAGGAGCAGTGGAGTTGAGAGAGTGCAGTTAACAGTCAGTGGAGAGAGGTGTCAGGGCTTTATGAGAGCAGAACAATCAACAATTATTTCTGGAAAGCAAGTGAAAAGAAAGGAACGTTCATCGGCTCAGGAAGAGGATATCCCACCAGAGTGACACATACGTGATTATTGCTCATGGTGAAACTGCTCAGCTGCCTCGGGAGGACTTTCTCAAACCTAGAAAAGATGATAAATTCATGCTGTTTGAGCCGAGCAAGATTCACAGTTACTTAGACATGTATCTGACGCGTTGAATAGAGTTATAAGCGTTCAGTTTCTTCAAACGTAAAATGGCTCACACTTACCAGAGCGGCTCGCTTTAGTTTTTGCCAGAGATTTCTTCTTATCCTGGAAAGCTAAAAAAATTCCGTCAGAGCTCTGTGTGCCTCTCCACTTCTTTGTTCACTCTCTGACACATGTTTACTCCCCGCATAATCATCAGCCATGGCCACACCTTCTTCCACTGGGCACACAAATGAGCTCCTATCAATTTGTGAGACGCTTACAAAAAAATTACATAAGCAAACAGGGTCTGGTCCAATATTTGCAAAGACTTTCACACACACATTTGGCCCGCTTTTGACTGATGGGTTCCCCTGACAGGATAAATCAGGAGACACAATCTGAGATTTCATTTCAAATACATTTTTCATATTATTCCACGATGCAATGTGACTCTTTTTATATTTGTATTTTAGTAACAAAAGAAGCCTTGCCTACATGTCCCTGAATGTCATCGCTACACATCATGAAAGGGAAATAATTGATCAGGTTGGCCAGCAGGAAACACAAATTTACTCAAGAAAAGCATTTCCTGGGTTTAATCAGTAACTCTTAATGTGAGAGTGATAGGCTTGAAAACACTGTTTCACCAAAGGACTTTAAAACCCTGTTAAAATGTAACTCAACATATAGGTTTGTGCTCCTGCTAAAAAAGGGAGAAATGACAGCAGACATGGATCCAGGGAAGTCCAATTAACAATGAAGAGCAGCATTTACTCTGTTTATGTCTCAGCTCCTGCCGATAAGCAGGTGTCAAGCAGGTGTTTTAACCACTCCCCCATTCTAGTTGAAAACTCAGCCATCAGGATTAGGGACTGTAAATTAAGCCTTTGCACGAGTCACTATAGGAAGACAGAAATATTGAAAAATAAAATTAAACGTTCACACCTTCAGGGTGTGTTCAAACATCGTTTTGAGTGACTCATTTCAGACCCAATTCCAAAGTTCTTTTTGAAACCTGTATGACGAGACCTCAGTGACTTGTTCCTCATTCTCGTCTCCTCCAACGTAGGGCCCTCAGGGACCATTTGGAATTCACCTCATTGCTACGCTGATGATGTACCATCATATCTTTTATACACTTTGTTTGGCAGTTTAGACATACAACTCAATGTTTCATTTTAACCAGAATCCAACTGTCCAGCTCTTCCCTGAGCCATGGACACCTGCCCCATACGCCCAAGTAAATCCCAAGAACCCTGAAATTAAGCCTGCAAAGGAATGTTTTTAAGTTTGAAATAGAAAGAAAAACTCTTTTCAAACTGTTTTTAAACAAAGGTTTACGTTTACGTTTCACCTCTGGATGTTCACACAGAAACCCGACTGCGGCCTCTAGTGGCCATTTTCTAAATTACATCCCCGTTCTAGCAAAAGAAGCCTATCTTTGGGTAAATATGGAGGAACAATCCCAGAATCAGAGGATCAATAATCAAACAGCACCGTCATAAAAACTATTTATTCAGTTCATGTTTAAATAGGAGTGTCTTTTTGCATTACACATGTTGCTTAACAGAGGAGTGCATTAAACACCAGAGTCATGAAGTCCTACGTCATCGATTGATTAAGGCCACTGGATTTAAAGTTGAAACATCCTACACAGCCGTTTGCAGACGTCTATGCCATTTGGGACAAACAGCCGGTAAACACACTATGTAACAAAGAGTGTTTTTTTTTCTTTTTTACAACTTCTGGATCAGAATAGAAGAAGCTCCACCTCCTCCGTTGCAGATGCCCGCCAGTCCGTACTGACCTGGTGTCAGGTTGTGGACCATGTGACCCACAATTCTCGCCCCGGACATCCTGACGGAAAAAAAAAGACATTTCAGTACAATTTGCTGACCAACGTCTCCTCGTTGCATTTTAGGGCTAAGAAAAGTTTAGATGTTTCTGATGCTGATGTTGCCGCTCATGGCTAAAAACCGGTTGCCTTGGAGACACCAGTAACGAATAGGATCAAGCCACGTTGTGAATGATTAAATATCTTCAAATATGATCCCTTTTAAAAACACCTTTAAAAAAAAGAAATTCAAACACAACACCAACTAAAACAGAATTGTTTATAGTAAAAGCAGTTCTGCTATTTGTTGTGAGAAGTCGGTTCTTTACATAAATAACTGTTAACAAGTTGATGAGGTTTAAAGTTAGCTAATGCAGGGAAAGCATCGCTGTGCTGACCAGAGACAGACAGTTTGGGCCCCCTAATAATACAGCTGCCTACAGCAAGCCTCTGAGCTTCTGCCTCGGTTTTAACTTCATTTCCACTCAGTCAACAGATCCCGAGTCTTTTTCTTTTCATTCACCCCTCTGACTCCTGTACACTTAGCGGGCTTGAACAGATTCTGAGAACACACTCTAGAATAACTCCGTGGTGAAGCCGTCTGCCCCCATCTGTTGCTTACCCGATTGGGTGTCCCAAAGACACGGCCCCCCCGTTGACGTTGACCTTAGCGGGGTCGATGTCCAGCATCTTGATGTTGGCCAGCACGACCACACTGAAGGCTTCATTGATCTCCCACATGGCAATATCCTCCTTCTTCAGTCCCGCGGCGCTTAAAACCTGACATATGCACAAAGAAGTGGGGGGGGGGGTGTTAGGTGTTGTAATGATCCTTCATTCATGAGCCCAGGGGTCTCATGCTAGCACTCACCTTTGGGGCAGCATATGCGGGGGCGATGGGGAAGTCGATGGGCGCCACAGCAGCGTCGGCAAAAGCTGAACGGGCAGAGACACAAATCCGTCCATCAGCCCACCACACTCACGTCAAACCAACAACCCGGCTGATAACGGGGCAAGCAAAAAGGCAGAGCCCGGTGCAAACAAGGCGCGTCAGCGCGGCGCTTACAGACGATTCTGGCCAGCGGAGTCACGTTGAGCCTCTTTGCAGCGTCGGCCGTCATCAGAACCAGCGCGGCGGCTCCGTCGTTCAGAGTGCTGGCGTTGGCTGCCGTCACCGTGCCTGCAACAGAGCAAAACCTCCAGTCACCGTGACCAGAGAAAGACTGGAACGCAGGGGAGAGATTTGGAGAGATAGGACAAAGTGTCCAACTTCTTTTCATTAACAATCAGCTGCCCTGTGCCTTTAAATTAGGAACTAAAAAAAACCCTCAACGCTATTTTTCAGACTCTTGGTTACCATTTTCCTTCTGGAACACGGCCTTCAGTTTAGGGACCTTGCTGAAGTCGACCCGCCTCCACTCCTCGTCCTCGGACACGACCACGTCAGGTTTGCCTGCGAGACGCCACAAGAAGCCTCAGCCGTAATCGGCCAGTTACCGGCCGGGGAGGGGGGAGACCGGTCCGGGTCCCCTTACCTCTCTGGGGAATGCTGACGGGCACGATCTCCTTGGCCAGGACGCCGGACTCGAAGGCGGCTTTGCTGCGCGTGTAGGAGCCCACGGCGTAGGCGTCCTGCTCCTCTCTGCTGATGCTGCACTTCTTGGCTGTGTTTTCGGCGCAGTTGCCCTGCAAAAACGGAAACGGACGCGGCGCTCAGAAGAAGCCCTCCAGCGGTCCCCCCCCCCCCCAGGGGCGCCAGCGCTCACCATGTGGAATTTGTTGTAGACGTCGGTGAGGCCGTCCTTGACGATGAGGTCCTCCATCCTGACTCCCCCGTAGGCCGGCGTCTCTCTGGACATTACGTAGGGAACGTTAGACATGCTCTCCATGCCTCCCGCCACCATCACGTCCTGAGGGAGCAAAGATGAGACGGCAGACTGTCCTTCAAGCTTTCTGACAACAGCTTCACATATAATAGTAATATTTCCTCAGAAATCAAAATACAGAGTTTTAATAGACGGCAGAAAACAAGCACCTTAGCAACTGCTGTGCAGGTACTGATCATCATAAGTGTAACTGAATCCCATTTCAGTGCACAGAAAGCATCCGCGGCTCATTTCACTGCTGATATTATCAGAACACCATGCGGTTTGAAAATTAAAAGCAAGTTAGAGGAGAGCCGCAGTCAGAAATAAAAAAACGGCCTCAACCGACAGGCTGATTTTCCGACGTTGTGAATGGTTACCTGATGGCCACACATCAGACTCTGGGCTGCCATCATGATGGACTTCATCCCGGAGGCACAGACTTTGTTGATGGTCGTTGCTGGAGTGCCGAGCGTCAAGCCTGCCGACAAAATCCGAACTCGGTTTCTGTCCCATTTGCATTTGACACAGGCGCATCGTCGATCTCGATTTTGACTTTAAATGAAACAGAAGAAATGACAGCAAATGTGGAGCGTACCTGCACCGAGCAGGGCCTGTCTGGTGGGGGCCTGTCCCTCCCCCGCCTGAAGCACGTTGCCCATGTAAACTTCTTTCACTTCCTCTGGAGCGATTCCTGAAGTCAAGACAAATCAAGAAAAACATGGCGCTAATCCATCCGGCTGTGTGGACAGAAAATACTGAACTCATGTGACGGCCTGTGTTTGGGAACAACACGCCCCCACGCCGATGTGAGGAGGTCACGGCGGGCCTGAAACGGAGAGGGACGCTCACGGGTGAAACATCTAGACACACCTGCTTGGTCTATGGCTCCCTTGATGGCGACCGAGCCCAGTTTGGTGGCCGGGACTGCTGCCAGGGTGCTTCTGAAGGAGCCCATGGGCGTCCGCACCGCACTGACGATGACCACTTCCTGCAAGCGTGCACAGATCAGCCCGGTCAAGCCATCCGTCCCCAACATCCCCGCCGTGTCCTCCAGTTACTGTACTCACATTTAGAGAGGGGCCAGATGCGTAGGTTCTGGAGAGGTACTTGTGAGCCTACAATGGCACAATATCAAACAAATGAACTCACTATCTGAATGCATCACATTTTTCTGCTGTGGGGTTTAATGGCGTGTGAAAATCTAGATCTGCAGCTCAAACTGGAGCCCTTGGGTAAAGTTTTTGAGTAAGTCATTTGTTTTAAATGAAGCTGGTAATATCAACAATATCAAGGTCATAATAACATGAAGCAGTTTTTGCATTTTAATGAGAGAAAAAGCTGGTGAAAGCTGGTTGTTGACATTACTCAGAACAGTGTGGAGCAGCAGGCTGTTAGCTGTTAGCGTCTTTTTTGTGTTGTTGACCGAAATATGGTGTCACACGGCACAGGAAGCCCACGCAGGTCTCTGCCACCTGCTGCCGTTTTCAGGCTGTTGCTTTACTTTGTCCAAGGACGCTCCACGAACACAAAGCGGCTAGCAGAGCCGCTCCAAGTTACCCGCGGCCTTGTGTTGCGAGAGTTGCTCAGCCTGGAACCCCTTTGCAATTACATAACCAACCAAATGATCCAAAACAGCTTTTTTCCCGCTCTCAAACTTACCAGGCGTTTACAGATCTGAGCATGCATGTTTAAAAGTCCACTGGATGACATTTTGGAGTGGGAGACGGGGCTGTGACTCGCAGGAAGGGCGATCTTCACCGTCAGTAGAGCGGCGGAGGGATACACACATCAGCCAATCGCGACGGGAGGTGTGCCTCTGACGTAACTAATCGAGCATCATGGGTGCTGTAGTTTTGCAGTTGTGTTGTTGATAATAAAATAATAATAATATATATATATATATGGAAGATATTTTTCATAATGTAAAGTTTTTCTTTTTGTTGCTTTTAAGAATAAGTATTGATAGCTTTTCACAGAATGTAAAAAACATGTAACTATGTGAAACAACCTAAACAAAACAGCCGATTAAAACTGAAAAAGAAAGGGAAAAAACATATTTGCTGGGCACTTGTGTCTTTATTCTTCATTCCTGTTGCTGGTCCATGACAAAGCTTTCATGCATTATGAACGATCTATCCTTAAATGCTTTATTAAATCAGATCAGACAAAAAATGTATACTTTAAAAAGAAATTATTGAGTACAACATATGATTCTTTACTTATACTTGCTTTTTGCTATCACGCCATATAGGATGAGACTAGGATACAATACTGCATGGAATGAGTTCTGCCCAGTATACATAAAGTTTTCTTTAGCAGTTCAGCCATTCATTGTTCAAAAGGCTGCGAAGTACCCGTCCCCGTCGATAGTCATATTCTTTCTGCCTGGATCTGTATGAAAAGTACAGCTTTCCTACAAAGGAAAAGTGAGCAATTAAAAACATGAATAACAACAGAGGGATGAACCTTCAACTAAGGACTTACCTCTGTGCTCAAACGCGGCATCCACTTTGTGGCCAATCCCAGAGAACTCTCTGTAAGTGAATTTTGGATACCTGCTATCCATTCTGCCTCTCCTCTCATTGTAGCTGTGTAGATAGTATAAGAGGGAATTTCTCACCATTGCTAAATATCTGGTCACATATACTCTCAGCATAGTCATCCACATCTGTGAATGTATTTAGCCTGTCAACATGACTCACCTCCAGACTCTGTTGTTAACAAAGAGGAGAGTTTTGCTTGTAAGTGACACATGAACTGCCGCGTCTACTTTTGTGACTGATGGTGGAAATCCGAAATCACTGAGAGGTTTGGGATAACCAGGCAGGATGGTGTTGCCTCTGATCTTCCAGTAGTGATTCCCTGTGACATCACCAATAAGAAATTATGTTCCTTTGGGGGACTGGCATTTCTCTTATGCTTTTTCCAGCATTCTTACTGGGCTGCTTTTGTACCTTCAAAGAAAGTGACAGTGCTCTTATACTCATAAGCCGCATCGACTTTGTTGATTCCAGGCCAGGTAGATTGGATTTTCTGCATACGAATGACTTCCCAGAGGCTGCGTCTCCTCCAAAAGTAACTGGTAAGAAAAGACCAAATAACTCACTGCAAGGATTCCAAAGAACTTTGCAATGAGATAAGGTCATATGTTTTGTGAAAAGTAGCTAATTTGTTTGTGTGAAAGGTGCAGTTATTGTACCCATCTTTAAAGAAGTAAAGTTTCCTTCCAATTGTGGTTGCAGCATCAAATTCCAGGTCCCTGTTGCACATCTCTGGGGCAGGTTCTGGCTCTGGTTCTGGCAGAAGTGTTGTGGTAGGCTGTGGATTTGGATTATTATCATCTGATGTTGTTCTGACTCCTTATAAAGACAAACAGGACAGGCTGAGTGGTTCTTCTTGTCTTTTTTTATATACGTGCTCTGTTTCTGGAAAACAAAGCTAGAAATTAAACGTGTGTGTGACTGAGCTCTCACCATAGATTGCCTGCACTCCCTCCCTGTCGTCGTCTGGTAGTTTGTAGCTTTCTGTGCTTACGTACTGATAGGTGGGATACATCAGGGCCGTCTGGACTTGAGAGTGAGCCAATCCGAGTGCATGCCCAAACTCATGGGCTGCCACCAGAAACAGGTTGGCGCCTGTACATAAGCAATCATTAAATCATTATGGGTACATAACCATGCAAATTGGCTCATGTTAATTTGTAGATGTTCTCTAATCCTCCATTTCCTGTCTGCTTTAGAAAAATTCCTGTTTTGAGACCATCATTAGGCAGCTGATTTTGACTGATGATACCATCGTAGAGACGGTGGAAACCTTTTCTTTAAATTACACATGTCAAGCCTGCACCTGCTGATGTTAGAGTCCAGTTTTCATCTTCATCAAAGTGGGTGTCACCCCCGTGGCCTTCTCCAGGAGAAAATGCATGTGCCAGGACCCCGTTCTCCCCATCAAATGGAGCAAAATCCCCATGCTCTGTTTTTGAGCAGAGAAGAGTCTGGTCAGCATTTAATCAAAATGCAGTTTTCTTTATTGAGTCTGTAGAAAGGGGCATCACCTCGAGCTTTAAACATGATCATGATGTCAGCTTTGCCGCTGCCGATCTGTTTGAAATCCAGAGGAATGACATCACTGTAGAGCTTGAGGGCTTTGGCAAGGGTGGCATCTACTTTACCTCGACTCAAATCTGGTGTGTACTCTGTTATCCTGCAAAGAGTACAGAAGAAAAAAACTGACACAAGCCCTCTGAGATGGATTATTACACAAAAGAGTTCCATGTGGACGCTTGTTTTCCCATGACTGATGTTTCTGTGTGGTACCTGTATGTGACCACAGTCTTGTCCCACTTTGGTCGGCCGTCAAAGTGTGCATATCTGGTCACATCTGTGAAGCCACAGCGGGGCCGAGCCATCACCTCCAGGGTGTTTGTGTCCAACTGCCCTGTCACCTCCAGCCCAAAAAACTCCTGCATTTTTCTGAGATCGTCTTCAAAGGAGTTTAAAGCGCTGCGCAGCACCGGACCGGGAGCACTGTCTCCCACATCCGAGAAAAACTGAGACAGGTACTTCTGAATAAAGACAAAAAGGTGTCAAATTGGATTAGAAGGCATGGTCGACTATTTATCAACTATGAAGACATTGTCAATGAATACCCCTGACCACTACAAAACCCATTTGAAACAGCAATGATTTCTGACTGAGCTCAATCCACCTACTGCAATGTTCCAGTGCGGAAGATCAACACTGAAATCTCATCTGAGCTTTTTGTGCCCTTCTGTTTTTTCATTCTAACAGTTTGAACCTCTCAAACTACTTTAGTGGACTATTCAGTTGACTCTTGGCTGGTTAATATGAAAAAACACTGAATCCATATAAAACCTGTGCAGGTTCCAAAATATAAAAAATGAACACGGCACGTTTCAAAATAAGAAAACTGTCATTCTTCCCCTTCTGTCACATGAAGCCACACTTACCTGGGCTGTTGAGAGCTCGTCTGAGGTGGGTGAAGAGGTGGGCACAGCTCCACAGAGGGATGCAACTACCACAGCTATCACCGTTCTCACAGCCAGCAGAGCCATTCTTCTTTAGTTTTTCTTTCCTCTCTCAGAGACGGAGGAGCAGGTTCCTCATGTGTGATGACTCCTAAGCGGTGGACCTGTAATGATCCTGTGGGCTATGTCCTGAAAATGTCTTGGGGTGTTAGGAGGGCAGAGAAAGTTGCGAGATTGGGCAATCAAACATTCCGGCAGGTGTTTGAACAGGCCCACTCACAAGAGCAGCGGGACAGGAAATCACGGGGACGCAGGGGTGGTGGCATGGGGCCAGACAAGGTGCCCCAAGGGCCCCTGATAGGGGCATGCAGGGATGGTGTAATGGATGGTTTGGCTAATTCACTCGCACCAGGTAACCCACTTTGCAAAAGATGTGTTATGCACTCACCTTAAGCCCACTGTTGCAGTCGATGGGCTGCAGCTGGGTGAGTACGTCGAACCAGGTTTGGCATCCCAAGCTGTCACAATCCCTGGATCTGTTTTTGTTCTTGAGAATTGTTACAGCAGCCTGAATCGTTTCTGCATCAGGTGGCATCAGGACCCATTTGCGTGAGCTTCCCAGTCATGGTGATTTATTAATAAATTCACTTTGAAATTTCCTTAAAACATTGTTAAGAAACATTTACAACCTTATACATTGCAAAACAGAGAAATGTTAACAGGAAACATTTGGCTGCTTCTGTAATGAAATGTTTACAGGAGGCAGAAATATAGATATAACCTCTGAAAATATCTAACATCCCCTCTGAAAAAAAACATCCAAAGCTGATTTTATGTAATGTAAACAAAAATGTGTACGTGACCCTGTGTGAATGGTGAGTGTGCAAAATTGGACACAAGGGCAAACTATTTAGAGAGAGAGAGAGAAAGAGAGAGAGCGAGCAGAATCAACCTGCTGCTGAGCGCTGCTAATGGCACTAATGAGCAGCATTGATATGAGCCAAAGCATTAACTGTTGGTGTTGTGGATGTGTAGCAGCAGAGAAGCATGCATGATTGAGCAATATAAAATTCCTGCAGTGTTTGAACAGGCCCTTTTAGGACCACAGGAGAGAGAAAACAACTGTGGGGTGAGGAAGGGGGCGATGAAATGTTGTTGGGGGT